CATGACATCAATACAAACAATGAAAACAAAAGCAGAATTTAAAAACTGAAATGAAACTTTGAATCATCTCCATACCCAAAAAATTTCTGACAAAATAGTTAAACACATCAAATTTATAAAGATTTCTTACTTGTTTGTTATTTAAACATATTAATAAAAATTATAGCAATATCTGATATATGAACATATGAAAGTGTGAGCATACATAGAAATGTACTCTTGTCAAATTTCAATTTTGATGAATCTCAAGTTTGTCTTAAATGAGAGGTTTAATTTCATAGGCCTTCAAAGTCATTTTGATAAGAAGACAGAAAATTATCATCCAAACAAAATGAATAACAAAGAAAGGCTATTAGATAAACTTTGAAATAATGCAAAACAGAAACGCATTTCTTCTCACCTATTTCTTAATGGCCAAGTTATTGATTCTAAACAAAACGTTCCCTTGAGACTAATTTGCATTGACTGCAGCTCAAGAATTTATGTTGAAAGTATCACCTCTAAAATAACTGGTACAAGAAACATTCAATTTACAAAGAATGTTTCTTTGTTTCAAAGATTATTTGAAACTTGCAGTATCTCTGCAGTAGAACGTTCATACTATCAAAAGAAAGAAATATTGCTTCAGTATCCACTGAAGTATTGCTAGGATGCTAACTCTTGAATGGTATTACTGGGTCCAATGGACCCAAGACTATGATGTTCAATATTTTTTTTAATTTGGATAAAATGAATTAAATAAATGAATTTTAAGAGTCTACACATTGGGTATCTAGCCCCCCACCCCCACCCCGAGGGTTGCATGTGGCACAAGGCCGAGTTTATCGTGGGTTTCCCGAGCCCATAGGCTTGGCCAAAAAATACCCGTATAACCCATATAAACGAGATCGGGATGGTCATTTCTCCCTGAACAAGATTCTGCCCTTCGGCGGAACCTCGTCCAGGTTCCTTTCTGTTCAGAGGCAGAAAGTTCGACCGTCAAGTCGAGAAGCTCGGCTTGATTGTAAGCTAATGTGACCAAACTGGTTGTACAATATTTAAGGTTATGTGAAATAAAACAGAAGTAATTTTCCTATAATTTTTTAAGATACAAGTTTTTTTGAAGTGTGCAAAGAGGGAAGAGAGATAATGAATAAAAGGAGAAGAGAGAGAGTGCAGAGAGAGACAAGAGAGTGAGCACAAAGAGAGAGAGAGCAGAGAGTGAGCAGAGAGAGAAGAGAGTGAGCAGAGAGAGAAGAGAGTGAGCAGAGAGAGAGAAGAGAGTGAGCACAAAGAGAGAGAAGAGTGAGCACAAATAGAGAGAGTGAGCACAGTGAGTGAGAGAGAAAAGAGTGAGCACAGTGAGAGAGAGAGAAGAGAGTGAGCACAGAGAGAGAGAGAGAGAAGAGAGTGAGCACAAAGAGAAAGAGAGAAGATTGTGAGCACAAAGAGAGAGAGAGTGAGCACAGAGAGAGAAAGAGAGAAGAGAGTGAGCACAAAGAGAGAGAGAGAAGAGAGTGAGCACAGAAAAAGAAAGTGAGCTCAAAGAGAAAGAGAAGAGAGAACACACAAAGAGAGAAAGAAGAGACAAAGCGCAAAGAGAGAGAGAAAGAAGAGACAAAGCGCAAAGAGAGAGAGAGAAAGAAGAGACAAAGCGCAAAGAGAGAGAGAGACAAAGCGCAAAGAGAGAGAGAGAGAGAGAGGCAAAGAGAGAGAGACAAAGCGCAATGAGAGAGAGAAGAGATAAAGCACAAAGAGAGAAGGAAGAGAGAGGGTAAAGAGAAGAGAGTGTAAAGAGACTGAAAGGGAGCAGAAAGAAATAAAGAGAGGAGGAGTGAACAAAGCAAAAAAAAGATAGAAAGAGTAGAGAGGAAGAAGGAGTGAAGTGAACAGAAAAAGATGGATAGAGAAATGAGGAGTTAAGAAAGCAGAAAACATAGAGAGAGAGTGGAAAGGAAGAGGGAGTGAAGAGAACAGAAAGTGATAGGAAATATGAAGAATGAGAGGAAAATTCGACAATCTGGTTTCTATACTCGAGATACTAATTTCCCATTTACCCATAAATTCAGTTGTCATCTACATGCACCATTCCTGTCGTATGTGCTTATGCAGCTAGAGTCTGTTGCAACCATAGAGTTTGGTGCACATTGATAAGGAATTTGTCCATGAGATGGGTGAGGGCATAATATAGGCTGGCAAGAGGATGATTTTAAAAAGGATGCAATCATGTAGAAATTAAGTTGCTCATGAATAATGTAATCTGGATGCAGACACTACAAGTGACAAGTGAGATGTCTGTATGCATTCCAGCAGTGATTTGCCTATTTATGGAATGAATTGTTTGAGATAGGAACAAAGTGAAAGAATAAAAGAGCATTTTAGGTAAAAGAAAAAGCAGTAGAGAGAAAGAGGAGAAGAAACAGAGAAAGCTGAAAATAGAGATAATGAAAAGGAGAAAGGAAAAGAATGAAAAGACGTAAAAGAGAATTCTTATTTTGAATTCCTTTAATGTCACAACCATAATGAATTCTAGCTTGAAAAGAATTTTTCACACTAATATCTAGAATACAAATAATAATGATTTTATTATATTGATATTAATGAGGATTTCAGTTAATGTTACAATTAATTAATTAGTTTGGCTTTGGGTCAAATGGAGGTAGTTAGACAGCTTAAGAATTGGTCTTCAGGTAGAGAGAATATGTAACATCCTGATTTTCACAAAGGATCAGGCTCTTACTGCTGGTTGGCTTTGGGTCACATGGAAGTAGTTAGAGGGGCTAGGAAGTAGAGAAAGTATTTTTACAACGAACCTGACCGTTGAGAAAGATGAAGCTATTTCACCCACTAAGCAGACCCTCTCAATCCCAGAGAATGATAATCACATGCACATCCTGATATATACAGTACCTCTGCATATATAATTTGAAAATACACTGCCAAAATAAAATCCTAAATGAATAATAGGTATATACATATATACGATTATTCTGTCACAAGAGGAGCAGTAATCTTATCTATTAATTAATGGGAGTGATGGGAAATGATACATGATCTATCATGGAACAGGTGATCCATTCTCTAGCAAAATATGCCCATTGCTCTAAAAGAATTACTTAAAAGCATTCATAGATATCAAGAAATGTTACCTTTTTCAAGATCTTGTTCTAATAACGGACTCATATCAGATGTTATAGTGATGAAAATATAATTTTATATATTTCATAATATATAATTTGAAAATATATTGCTAAGATTCTAAATGAATAGGTATATACATATATACTAATATTCTGTGTCACCAGAGGAGCAGTAATCTTATCTATTACAGACTCATATCAAATGTTATAGTGATGAAAATATAATTTTATATATTTCATAATATATAATTTGAAAATATATTGCTAAGATTCTAAATGAATAGGTATATACATATTTACTAATATTCTGTGTCACCAGAGGAGCAGTAATCTCATCTATTACAGACTCATATCAAATGTTATAGTGATGAAAATATAATTTTATATATTTCATAATATATAATTTGAAAATATATTGCTAAGATTCTAAATGAATAGGTATATACATATTTACTAATATTCTGTGTCACCAGAGGAGCAGTAATCTTATCTATTACAGACTCATATCAAATGTTATAGTGATGAAAATATAATTTTATATATTTCATAATATATAATTTGAAAATATATTACTAAGATTCTAAATGAATAGGTATATACATATATACTAATATTCTGTGTCACCAGAGGAGCAGTAATCTTATCTATTACAGACTCATATCAAATGTTATAGTGATGAAAATATAATTTTATATATTTCATAATATATAATTTGAAAATATATTGCTAAGATTCTAAATGAATAGGTATATACATATATACTAATATTCTGTGTCACCAGAGGAGCAGTAATCTTATCTATTACAGACTCATATCAAATGTTATAGTGATGAAAATATAATTTTATATATTTCATAATATATAATTTGAAAATATATTGCTAAGATTCTAAATGAATAGGTATATACATATATACTAATATTCCATGTCACCAGATAAGCAGTAATCTTATCTATTACAGACTCATATCAAATGTTATAGTGATGAAAATATAATTTGATATATTTCATAATATCAGGGATATTGAGGCGAATGAAGAAAACAGTAACCAGTGAGTAAATTCAAGCTCTCCCAACTGGTATTTCAACCTTGAGTCGTTCCTTCTTGAGTTCTGTCTCCAAATCACACTAACTGCCCGTTCTTGCCGTCAACTGTGAACGTCCCTCGAAGAACTCCCCGAATCGGAAAAAAGTAGTTGTTTTTATAGTTGTTCATATACCCATAATCCCTTGCGTCTTCATGTGATCCCATAATTCATTGCGTCCATGTCCCATAATGCATTGCATCGTTATTGCATAAAAATGCGATGCCAGTCCCCCCTCATTCTTTTACGTTATCCGGTTGAGGATGGATTACAGCAGAGCGGTAAGTGCTTTTTTCTCTCCCTCATTTCAACTGCAGTAGCTTTACATGCTAAGCAAATACGGGCTCTTTTTTGGCAGGGTCAAGGCAAGTCACGACCAGTTGTGCTTGTCCCAGGTTCTGTCTCATGTCCGCCACAGATATTTAAAATTCTAAGAACAGAAACAGTTGATCATCTTAGCAGTTATTTATATTCCAAGCTCCCAATCATCTTGTTACAATCTCTTAAGAATACAACATCTGTAACAATGAAAGCATTTGATATTTGCTTCAAGCTGAAATTCTAAAACATATTTCAACTGCTCTTTACTTAATTGTGCTGTTTTTCTATAGGTTAGCTACTTTTGATACATTTATATTAGGTATGTGCCAATATAGTTCCAAACACCTTTTTTTTTAAAACTACATGCAGAATACACAGCAAAAATAAAATATGCAGAAAATTGTTCACACTTAATAAAATCAGCCTTACTCAACATGGCAATAAAGCAACTGTGTTTTTGTTATTTTTGGTAACTAATAAAAGGAAAGTTAATTCAAAATTTAGTCAGGCTGGCCTTTCAATTGTTATTTGTAGTCCATTCAAGAACCCTTGCTTACAGATTACCAATGTTTCAATTAACAAGTCATACAATCAAGTGATAAGGGAATCCTCTAATTTCTGACATTGTAGATTATATACATTTCTTCAATCTAGAAAACATATTTGTTGGCAGTTGCAAGATTCAACAATTTTTGAAGGTCCGGAATGACTAAGTTTTTGAAGATGGATTTTCTTATTACTTGGCCATAAGGGACAAAGGTAGCTGAAACCCCTGGAAACACAAGCAAGGATGAATGAATTTCAGGTGATATTAGGTAACACTCCTCCTTTACCTCAGATAAAAATCCTCAATATCACATAGCAATCATGTCATATGCTTAACAGATCCCATAACAAAAAATGTGCTTGCTTTTAGTGGTTGCCTGGCAAAACAAATTATTTGCATAATTAACACTTCTCAGCTCAACATCTTAACTATTTTGTGAGGGAGTTGGTAGATATTTTATTTCTACATACTCAGACATCCCAGGGTTCACACTGGCCCTGTTCACACCATTTGCTTTCTTTTTACAGAGACAGTACTCTAGATGTCATATTTTCAACTGACAAGGGAAGGTACCGGTGGTAGACAGCTCAGTCTGTATTTTGTTTTTGCTACATTTGACATATAATCTTCTATTCAATCACAAAGTATTCAACTCTTGCCTACGATAAAAACTTGTTGGTTTCAATCCATACAGGAATGACTGCAAAACACTTGCCTTTCCCCAATTTATAGGCAGAAGCACACAAATGCATCCTGGGATTTTTTCCAAGAAGTTTCATCTGACTCAGTTCTGGTCTGTCTTGAAGTCAGAATGCTATGTTCGCTTGTCCAAACTTGCTTTTGTGTGTCAACCCCAATTCTTAATTTGTAAACTTTTTGCTGTATTACTGTTTAATTTGCCTTGCATATATTGTTAGCTAGTTTTATATTATTTTTTCCCCTGTCCTTTTTTATTGCTTATTGCAAACTTTGTCAATTCTGTATGTTGAACAGTTCTGTTACTTATTTCGCATTTAACCATGGCTACTCACACCACAAGACTTGGCAAATATGACCTTGTCCGACATTCTCAATTTAAGATTTATTTTCCATTAACTAGTAATTGGGAAAATAGGCTCACTAGGCATCCTGATTTAAGTCCTCAAAAGCAGTCTAAATATATTACCTTTTACCAGATTATCCTAAGTATATAACCACCTGCTTCTAGAATGATTTTGCATCATTACCTATTTCAATACAGCAGCTAGTCTCATAGAGACCCGATTGCTTGATTTGTTTGTTTAATGGCACATCAACACTGTATGGGTCATTTAATGCTGAAATTTAATTTTCTTGGGAGCTTTGAAGTAATAAAAATATGATACATGTTATTCTGCTTTCACAATTGAATTCATGGTAGATGATACTCAGCTTTTGTGCATATACATGTTTGTGTCGACATAATTAATAGAGGCGGTGATATGTGTTTTTTATGTTGAAGTTATATTTTGGAATACAGTTTGATTTCTTTCAGAAATTGTAGGATATAAAGATTCATGTCATGAAAGAGTTCTTGTTGTTTTTTTAGTAACATATCAACCTCTATGGGTTATTTAATGTCAGAATCTAAATATTTTGAACACAGTTTTATGGCTTCAACTACAGATATATACTATTTTACAATAAATTTTATTGTTAGTAATTCTTCTTTAAAAATGAATTGCTGGTATTTTTACTATAAAAATGTATTTTTATACTTTCATAGTATTTGGAAGATCACTATTTGCCCATAGATGGGACCCTAACAGGTGCTACCACCCTAAGTCAGGGTGGACCTGAGAAAAAAAATAAGAGGTGGTCTCATGCTCCTGAAAAACCTCCTAATCAGAGGCCTTATTACCAAATATAGTTTATCATCATACCCAGGAATAAATAGAGCCGTGTGCTTCACTATAGTTATATGTTTTAAATAGAATATTCCAAGAATATTTAACAAAACAACTGATCAAAAGATAAAGTTCTGCTTATAATTGCATTAAATTGATTCATTTTTACAAATTCTATGTACATTTTAAAAGTGATATTTTTTATTTACATGCAGACTATTTCTTCATCTTTATTACTATAACAGAAACAACAGAAATGAGGACAATAGTCTGCTTTGTAAATAATGATGACTCCTCATCCCAGAAATTCAGACAGTGATTATATTTCTCTTGTTTTTACGGTTGTTGGTATTTCAGCAATTTTCAAACATAAAAAGCTGTACTTTATCTCCAGTATGCCTTCTCTTATCCTCTTAGAGATTTGAGCATTTGATCTTGAACAGCATAATCCTGAATATCTTATCAGATTTGGTGAATTCCAACAAATACAATTTTTTAATACTGATCAAGGGATTTTCTTCTTATTGATTGGGTCTCTTCCAACAAAGAGGGATGGAAAACAAA